CTTTTTATGGTATGTGTGTCTTAAATATAAAAGTTTTTGGGAAGGAGTTTTTGTTTCTAAATAATTAATAGCTAGAAGAGTAAATCTGTAGGCTAAGGAATATGGGAGCAGAATTATCACTGAGCAGGAACATTTTAATTTCTATTTGCAAAAGGAATAAAGATATTTTTATAGAAAGATAACAATACTAATGATAGGAAAGTTTTCTCCCAGGTGACCTGTACTACTAGGAAAGGAGTTGTTATTAGAAAATTTAGAGTAAATAACAGTATTTAATTTTAAAGTAATTAATTTAACAGTAAGTAATTTAATTTAACAGTATTTAATTTAAAAGAAATACCTTCCATATTTCTTTTAAATTAAATGTGGAAAGGACCTAAATTCTGCTCACATAGTTTAAGTAGGGTGGGAACCCAGTACAGTGGAAAGTTTTACATATTGTAGCCTAGTCTTTTTCCATTCCAGAAAACAGATTTCTTGATGTGATAGCCTTTTATTTTTCATTTTCCAGTAACTTTGATCTTGAGGTAGAGATTACTGTAATATCACACCGAATTCCCTATTAAAATGGTGTGTTGTTGTTGCAATCAAAAAAATCTTGAGTTCTCTTAGTTTTCTTTTGCATAAAGTAATAGAGCTTAGAATTGACCTCTATACTGCCTATTTTAACTATCAAAAGACAATTATGCTATAATAGCCACCATTCCTTATGTTGTAAATGAAAAGTTCACAGTTTCTGTGGATAAAATATGTCCTTTTAGTGTTTCACTATTTGGGTGTGAGCAGGAGAGCCAGTTTTCAGTTTGTGACCACCTTCAATTTCTTTTGGGATGCTGTACAATATGAAGAATGTGCTCTATGTATCCTTTGACTTAATCAAGTTCAAAACATGTTATTTAACCAAGCACTATAATAATTCTTTTTCCTATTACCTTACTAGAGCTCTCAGATTATTCTATCAATTTATGGAAGATTAACTCCAAACAAAACTCTGGGGCCAAGGAGAGGTGGTGCCTTACATAAGCGTAATAAAACCCTGTAAATGTAACGTCTCGTACTATACTTATCTCTGTATCCTAAAACGAAAAATCAAGTCAATGATGTTGTTAAAATAGATAAATTTTGTACTTAGAATCCTTCTAAGACATTGAATTCCAGGTGTTGAATTCTGTGGTGCAAAACAGTATTCTAGTTATGGTATAATAAATGCTAAGTAATGGAGATTATGGCTTCCCTCACTCTATTTGCTCTGCTCCTTTTTGTAAAGCCCAAGTTGCCATTGTCCATCTTCTCTGCCACAACACAGTGCTGGCTCATATTCAGTTTGCTGCCCTACCAGGGCCTCCAGGTTCTTCTCTGCAAAGCTGCTCCCCAGCCAATCCATCTCAGCTTGCATTGTTGCTGGGGTTGCTCCTTCCAACTACACATTGACCTTTACTAAATTCATGAGATTTCTGCTGGCCCATCCTTCAGCCTGTCTAGGTCCATCTGAATGCCAGCCTTGCCTCCTGATTGGTTGTCTTTTGCATCCTCCAGGTCATTGTTGAAAATGGTAAACTGGAATGGCAATTGATGATAGTAGACACATAAAGAGGAAGAAGGACAGAATCTTACACCTTTCTTTATTCTTACCTTTTCTGCTCTCTTTTTATTTACACCTAGATAATAACGTAAAATGCAATCTCAAACTGCTTCTGTATGACTACCTGCTGTGGATTATTAGCATGTATATAAAGTCAGAATATCCTTCCATCTTCCTCTACTTTTCCTAGCTCTTGAATAAACAGCTTGAAAAGGTAAAGGAGTATCATCAGGCTTTCTACACTCAACTCTTGGTGAAATGTTCAAAAGAAACAAGATGCCTTTTATATGCTGGAGAGTATAAAGCATCAAGCAGTTGTGCAGAGCAGTGCTGGTATATGTTGAAATACATCTACAGTCCACTTGCCTAGTGAAGACAGACAGCAGGAAAGAATTGGACAACAGTTCTGAAACAAGCATTCTGCAGCATTTCAAACTACACAGTAGAGATATAACTCTTACTGTATTTTAGAAACTTTTTTTAGTAAAAGGTGATTAAAAGCTGTGACTTCAAAATTGTCAAGTATATCTATGCAGTATTTATAACATAATCTGTCTACCCTGAACACTGCCTTGTATGTCAAGAATGCTTAATATACACAAAATTATTTTCAAAGTTGTATCACCT